TCCATCCTGTCTGCCCACCTGTTTCCATGCTTTTATTTAGCATTCCCTCTCTGTTCCAGCTTCCTCTGGCCCAGAAAAGTGGACCCTGGGATGCCGGACCGTGGCTTGTGTGGGGAGCATGGGTGTGCAGGCTAATCCCTGAGGTACAGCCAAATCATCTCCGGGAACTGCAGAGCTCCCGGCTGAGAATGTGAAGATAAATTGCACCCAGGCTGCACAACAGCATCACCAACCAAAGGGCTGGGAAGAAGCAGGATGCAGGGTGCAAGGAAGAGGGATGCAGAGTGGGAGCCAGGCATCAAGAGTCAGAATTTACAGGCAGCCGCAGGAGTGTTCTATCAGGTTCAGCCATGGGAAGAGGGAAAGTGGGAAGGGCACTGAGCTGGTCCTGACGATCTGACATTCTGGGTTGCAAATCTTGCCTGCCTCTGTTATAATTGCCTTTGTGGGAGTGAACATTGTGCAAGCTTATTCTGTTCCAGATGCTGAGCCAATAGAACCTACTGATAAAGCAGAGAGCTCCAGGTTGGGTACCGTGGCTCACACCTGCAATCCCAGCACTTTGGGAGGCTGAGGCAGGATGATCACTTAAGGTCAGGAGTTCCAGACCAGCCTGGCCAACATGGTGAAATCCCGTCTCTACTAAAAACACAAAAAGTAGCCAGCTGTGGTGGTGGGTGCCTGTAATCTCAGTCACTCAGAAGGCTGAGGCAAGAGAATCACTTGAACCCAGGAGGTGGAGGTTGCACTGAGCTGAGATTGTACCATTGCACTCCAGACTGAGATTGGACTGAGATCCTGACTCCAAAAAAAAAGAAGAGAATTCCAGACACTGCTGAGGTTTGGGCCCCAACTCTGCCACCTACTAGCTAAGTGGCCAGAGCAAGAAACAGCCCCATTGTGTCTCAGTCTCCTCACCCAGGAGATGCAAATGATAATAGCACCAGTAACAGCTTCCATTAGCATGTTGTTGTGAGGATGAAAGACTTGGATAAACCCAGGGTTTAGCACATAGTAAGTATTATGTAAGCAACAGGTATTGGTCATGGCTGTAGCATCAGCTGAGTGCTACGTATTACTGCTACACATATTGTCTCATTTAATCCACATGAAGATCCAAACAAGTCTATTATCCCTATGTTACAGATGAAAAAATCAAAACTACGTAGAGGCTCAGGAGGTAAAGCAACTGACTGAAGGTAACACAGCTATGAAGAGAAGCACTATGCGGACAGTCCAACATTTCCCTTGTGGACCCTCCCAACTATGCACAATGACCCGTCCTTCAAAGTCCAGCTCATCGAGGAGTTGGAGGCATGGACTCAGAGGTCAGGCTGCCCGGGCTCAAGTCTCATTTCCATCCATCTTCTCATTCATTTTTAGACCTTGGAAATGTCACTTGCCTGTTTGTGCCTCAGTTCCTCCATCAGCAAAATCAGTAAAAAGTCACTATGAGACAGAAGACAGTAGCATCTGCCTCCAATTGCTAAGGAGATTACATGAGTCAGCGCTTGTAGTCCATAGAGCAACACCTGGCACATGGTTGTGCTCTGAGGACCAGCCCAGCTGCCCTTGACCTCTCCCCTCTCCAAATGCACAGATCATCAATCATCGTTAGCTCCCCGCCTGCTACCCAAGCATCAATGCACACATTTATATTCCCTCCGCAGCAGGAGCTGAGCTGACTCAGGCACTCTCTGATTTTCCCCTCCAGCAGCTGGCCCACTTGGCTGCACACAGTAGGACCCGCAAACATCCCAACTGCATATCCATTGAGGTATGTGCTCTCTTCAGAGCGATTCTTTGGCTATCTATTTTGTTTTCCCTTCATTTTCTTTTTCTTTTTTTTCCTTTTTTGAGGCATTTTTAGGAAGGACACAGCTACACATCTTCACAAAGCCTTTTTTCAAATCTTATAAAATTACTGGAGGTGGGAGATGAACGCCCTGTTCTGCTGAAGTCTGGCAAACTGAAGGACACGGCAGCCTCCGCCTGCTTTATAAGAAGCAAAAACAATCACAGCCAAGTTTTGTCAAAATTGCTTACAGATAGCGGCAAGCGAGAAACAGCCAGGGCTCAGGGGAGCTTTGTCTCTAGATGGCATCTCACGGGAACTCAGGGGACCAACAACGCGTGGCTGAGTTTTCGTAACGAACCCAGCTCTCCCAGCCCCTCAAGGTGGAGTTGGCCCCGAGAACCTGCACAGAACCCCTTCTGCTCTCTTTCAAGCAAAATACTGTGACAGCGTCTCTTTTCCAGATAAAAAGATGGGCCACCATTCATGATGAACAATCGCTATCCAAATGCATTCAAGCCCATGGGCAAATCCCCTAACCATACCATTTACGTGTTTCTATGGAACATTGTTTTTGCTGTACATCCTGGCAGCTTTGTTGCTTTAGCTATTTGCCACATAATTTATATCACAGATTAGTGAGATGCTGTGAAAAGGGTCATGGCTAAGTAAGAGAAAAGCTTGCCTTTGTGGTGTCAATGGATTTCCACACTGGTATGAATTCACCAATATCCTGTTTGCTCTGAAACATGACTGACACGCCGTGCATTCGTTTTTAGGTTGCCATCTACCCTTAACTCACAGTTTCACAGATACTGAAGGGGAATTGTGAAGTTCATCCAGCCCAGGAATGGCAGACAGATTCCATCCTCAGAAACATCGCAAGATGATCAATTGATAGTAGGTTCCAGAAGCACCGCACTGAGAAGGACACTCAGGCTAAGCCAGGGGTTATTAGCAATATCTGCCATAAGCATGGTGACAGTAGAGTGGCACATGAGCCACTTATTTGCCACTGCAGGCTGTTTAACCTCTCTACTCTGTAGATAAAGAAGCTATATGATGCTCTCAAGATCACACAGACAGCACTGGTAGGAAGGTAACTCTCACATTGCCAGTCGTACTGTCTCTGCTCCCAGCTGTGTGACCCACGCTCGCTCCACCACTGAACAAAATGAGTAGATCAAGCAGGGATATGGGTAATATGGCAGGTGGAGAAAAGGGATGTGAATTAGGGGCTGTGGAAAATTGAGGAAGACCAAGCTCGCAGATAGGAGAGAAGGCTAGGCATGCCAAGCAGGGGCATGCCATCGTTAAGTCATTGTTTGGCTGGAGTTCTGCTGTGTGTCTTGCCCTCCTTTTCTCATGAAGGTAGAGTCTCTGAGCTCCTGGTGAAGAAGGAGTGAGTCAGTGGTAGCAAAAAGTCTCTGAATGGCACAGTCGGGAAGCCTGAATGGCAGTTTGTGACACTCATAAAGTATGCATACGTGTGGGAGTGCAGGGATCAGCATGCATGTGCTTGTGGAAGGGAACAAGCACTGCTGCCTAGCAAAGGAGAAGCACCATATGCAATAACACACACATATAATACAGATATACCATGTGTGTATGTATATACATAGTATATGTGCATATACAGTATGTGTATGCCTGTATATACATATATACATATACACACACACATATACACAGTATATGTGCATATACAGTATGTGTATGCCTGTATATACATATACACATATACACACATACATATACACAGTATATGTGCATATACAGTATGTGTATGCCTGTATATACATATACACATATACACACATACATATACACAGTATATGTGCATATACACTATGTGTATGCCTGTATATACATATACACATATACACACATACATATACACAGTAGATGTGCAAATACAATATGTGTATGCCTGTACATATGTACACACATATACACACACATATATATACTGCAGTCACCAAAAGTCATTGGGAAACAAAAAACAGAAGGAGCAGGAGTAGGTTGGGCAGCTTAGCTCTGAGATACCTATGACCTGTTAAATGTGGATGTACATGCATAGATGTATATATACACCATATACATATACAGAACCATAAACAATTACATATACATATACATATATATGTATACACACATACATATACTGAAGTCACTGAAGGTCACTGGGAAACAAAACAAAACAACAGAAGGAGCATGAGTAGGTTGGGCAGCTTAGCTTTGAGATATCTCTGACATATTAAATGTGGATGTATACATATGTGTATACATTATATGCACATATACCCTATGTATGTATACATATACACATAGGTATACGGTACATATACATGTATATCGTATACACATACATATACACCATATACACATACAGCACCACGTACATACATATGGTATATGTGCATGTAACGTATATGTGTACACTTATGTACACATACACATACACCCATATAGGTGTACAGCACAATATGCAGCACCACATATAATTCTAGTGGGCCACTGTTTCTTGCCTATCCACTATCCATTTCCTTTCCTCTGGAAACAGCTCTTTAATTTACTTTGAGGAACTACATTTCTTTCACTCTCAGTCCCTGTGTTTTCGGGTGAATAGGGCTGACTCTGTCCTGGCTTCAGGAAAAGAAATGTGACCAAGACGTGGCCAACCAGAACATCACAACCCAATGGACACCATGTTTAGTTCAGGGGTAGGCACATGATCTAACGTACGAAATTCAATTTCAAGGTTTTGTTAGCATTATCTTGAAGAGGTGCTTTCTCAGGCGACTTCAGACCAGGAAAATGAGGGGAGTTCCTGAGACTTCCACCTTGGGAGGTAGGAAGACACGTGACTGTCTCAGTATATCTAATAAAAGGAAAATGGAGCCACAAGATGCATAGCGATTAAAGCTGATTTGGACACCAGTACATAGCCATTCCTGAAGGCAGAAGTATCCCTTAAATAGTTCCATGAATTAATCCATGAACTATCCCTAAATTAGTTACACGACTCAATTAATTCCCACTGCCCCTCCCCCCTACATTTTTAGAGTTGGATTTCTGTCATTTGCAACAACAATAACAAAGAGAATCTTAGCTAACATAATAAAATAAAGACTCACTTTCCACATAAGACAGACAGAACCTAATGTCCTCCTTGAACCCAAGTTATCTCAAACAGATGTGTTACCTGCAAGGAGCCCTGGATGTCTCTCCCCCCAACAATCACGAGTTCTGCCATATCTTCTGCATGGGGAGTCCGTGCATGGACGAACAGAGTCTTGCCCACTGCAGTTATGTTTCTCAGGGCAAATAAGCCACCATCGCTGTTCACCTTGAAGTATGGGCTTGAGACCTCATAGCGTAGCTTGTCATTTCCCTTACAGTCACTGAAGGTCACTGGGAAACAAAGAAAACAACAGAAGGATCATGAGTAGGTTGGGCAGCTTAGCTCTGAGATATTTCTGACCTCTTAAGTGTGAATTGCCACATAGTTCCCCACCCCAGAGCTCACAAACGCTACCCTTTATCCCACAGCAAGCCGCTTGTACCCAAGTGACTTTGTGCTGATGGACTTCACTCAATCAAGACATGTCCTTGACGACCTCTCATGTTCCAGGCAGGTGCTAAGCTCTGAGAATGCACACTTGAGTGTGTTCTCAGTAGAGTCAAGAGTCAGATCTGGCAGAGTGACATTTGAGGGAAGTGATCTAATCTTGGCATGTGTGGGTGACTGAGCAGAACCACAGGGTGCTCAGGAGCAATGAAGAGAGCTGACAGAGACGATATTTGAGCTGGGTATTGAAGATAAGCAGGAGATGAGAAGGCTCTTAAGAATGTGGAAGACATTATAGGCTATTCAAAGGTACAGGGATGAGGGCTAAATAGCAAAACAGATTCAGGGAATGAGAATTAATGATATGCATATACATGTATACAGTATACACATATACATACACATGTATATGGTATATACATACATATACACCATATACACATACAGGACCATATACATACATATGGTATATGCATGTAATATATACATGTACACATACCCATACACCATATATGTATACAGCACAATATGCAGCACCATATACAATTCTAGTGGGCCACCTTTTCTTGTTTATCCATCATCCATTTCCTTTCTTCTGAAAACAGCTCCTTAATTTACTTTGAGTAACTACATTTCTTTCACGCTCAGTCCATATGGAATAGTCCATATGTTTTTAGGCGAATAGAGGCAAACTTAAAATGGGGCAGGGATGGTGGGAATCTAGAATGGTGGGGATCTAGAAGGGAAGGGTGGAAATGAGGCTGAAAATGTCTTTGGGAGACAAGTTGGGAAAAGTCAGTAAGTTAGGGTGCTTTCTGGTAGCCCTGGACGATTTGTGGTGTGGAGAGGGTCAAGATCAGGTGTGTGCTCTGCTTCCAGTGGAGAGCAGTGCTTCTCAAGGATTGGGGTGCATCAGAATCACACAGGGTGCTATTTTTTTTTTTTTGGACAGAGTCTTGCTCTGTCATCCAGACTGGAGTGCAGTGGCATGATCTTGGCTGACTGCAGCCTCTGCCTCCAGGTTCCAGCGATTCTCCTGTCTCAGCCTCCTGGGTAGCTGGGATTATAGGTGCATGCCACCACGCCTGGCTAATTTTTGTATTTTTAGTAGAGATGGGGGTTTCACCATGTTGGCCAGGCTGGTCTCGAACTCCTGACCTCAGGCCTCGCAAAGAACTGGGATTACAGGCATGAGCCCCTGTGCCCGGCCCACAGGATGCTGTTTAAGAATCCGGAGGACCCAATACAAAGATTATAACTTGGCAGATCTGGGTTATACCAAGTGATTTAAAGAAGGGCAGGAAGAGAGGCCAAGAGAACCACTTTCAAGTTCAATGTTGTATCAAAGATGGCTGTCCAAAATGAAGGCAGTGGTGCTGATATGGAGAGTGGACAGATGTGAGTAAAGTTCCTGCCGTGGAATGGCTTAGTCATGTGTGGGAAGGAATGGGGAAGATGGGCCCCCTGCATGAACCACATGGAGCACAGAGCATTGACACAAGCAGAGGCTGTGACGGCTGATCATGCTCCCCTCAATGATGATTCTGCATGTGGTACACAATTCTATTATTATGGGTATCACAACTCATTATGTGTACGTGCATTTGCCTGTCTGCCTCATGCTGTAAACTTTCAGGCCCCTTATAGGTGAGCAGAGAATTGTACTACGTGCTTTTTGCTCTCTGCTGAACAGGCTCATTTGTTTAGTAAACCTTTAATCGAAGCATAATGTAGACACAGAAAAGTGCATAAATCAGAATATACAACCCAATGAATTTTTACAAAGTAAGCACACCCAACTGCCCAGCACCCAGACCATAACATGACACATTACCAGTCCCCTTCCTTTCTGAGTAAAATTCCTACCCTCCTCCCCAGAGGCTACATTATTCTAGCTTCTAATACCATAGATTTGTTTTACCTACATTTGCACGGCATCTAATGGGATCATACAGTATGCATTCTCTCCTGTTTGGCTTCTTCATTCAACATTACATTCCATGAGATTCATCATGTGACTGTGAGTCATGCTAGTTTATTCTAATCACTATAATAATAATCATTGATCACTGTATAGTATCCAGGTTACCATATTTATCTTAATCATCATATAGTATTCCATTATGTGGCTGTATTGAATCTATTTATCTATTCTACTGTCGATTGGTATCGAGACTATTTCCAGTTTGGGGCTCCAAATATTCTCGCTAGCAACTTTCTTGTATACATGTTTTGGTAACAACAGCTAGATAGGTTCTAGCACACTTAAAGTCAAATATCTGAAAATCTAAGCTCATCTGCATAGATCCTAGCACACTGTGAAAGCCATATAAATATCTGAAAATCTAAACTGGTATTTCTACTCTGGGAAGATTATACTTAGGGTGATAATAATCATATTAACTGATAATAATAGTGGATAATTCAGACTGAGTACTTTCCACATTCAAGGATCGGTGCTACACATTTTGCACACATCATCTTAGTTAATCTTTACAAGGACAACAAATGAAGTACTATTTTGATCCCCTTCTCCTACAGTTTCTAGATAAGGAAACTGAGGCTCATAGAGGGCAAAGTTGGTGCCCAATACACACAGGTTGTAAATGATCAGCCAGGATTTGAACCCTGGTCCACTTGTCTCTCACCACTGCACGTTTTCAATTAAGACAATACCCCATAGAGAATACAATCCTCCTGAAATCCTATCAGAACCTGACTACAGTAGTTCCCCCACCTCCAGGGCTTTGCTTTCGCAATTCCAGATACCATGGTCAACCCAGGTCTGAAAATATTAAATGGGAAATTCCAGAAATATACAATTGATAAGTTTCAAATTGTGTGCCATTTTGATTATTGTTATAATTGTTCTATTATATCATTAGCTGTTGTTGTTAATATTTTACTGTTCCTAATTTGTAAATTAAACTTTAATATAGCTACGTATGTATAGGACAAATAGCATATATAGGGTTGGGTAGTATCCATGGACGAAGGTATCCACTGTGGGTCTTGGAACACATTCTCTGAGGACAAGCAGGGACTACTGTAGAGAGCTGTGATTGCCCTTCTCAGTCCTGTTTTCATGTTCCTGCTTCGTTCGGAAGAGCATTGCATGGTCCGGTGCCTCTTGGTCACTCTGCAAAGGTTCTAAGGCTTTCCGTGGCTAAGTCAGCTTTAGGGCCATCTTTGCACAGACACACAAGTGGACTCTGGGGAGCCTGCAGTTCTCAGACACTTGCTCACTTTCTCTAATCATGTTGGTAGCCAAGATTAATTGAACATGCTTAGTTTCAGTTTTTGGAAGTGAACTATGAAGGAGTGACACCAAGGCTGCTTTCATTGTTGTCATCAATTAGTACTCATCCACTGGAGGAAAATTACTCAACTGACAAGGCCTGATGGGAAATTACTGCTTCAACTGCCAGCATGAGGTTCTAGCCCTAACCCTTGAACAGAATCAGAGAAGACAGTCTCAGCTGGGGAGTGAACGGGGTAGAGGAAAAGGCATACGAAAGTCTGTGGGGGTTCTAGATTCACAGCTAAGTTCCTTCTTCCTACCCTTTCTTCCTTCCATAAATATTTACTGAGAACCTACATACTGCTAGATGCTGAGGTTATGATGTTGAACAAAGACAGGCACAGTCCCTAGTTTGAAGTCTAATGTGGAAGACAGACATTAATTTAATACTCTTGTAAGTAATTGGGGACCTATTACTTAGGCAGAGAAAACCACAACATATGCAAAGGTCCTGTGGCTTCTACAGAACTGGAAGTAAGCCGGTACGATTGGCACAGACAGCAAGTGAGAATGCAAGGAAGTTAGAATGGAGATAAGCCGAGTCCAGGCAACATGGGGTTCTAGGGGCCACACAGCCCTGTTCCTTGGAGGAAGCCTTGGATTCTCCTGTTGCAACTATAACACTAGCTTTTCTCCAACTGAGTCTCATATAATTATGGATCTTCATTGCAAAACAATACTTAGCACTCAAGGTCCTCCATGACTAGGCTGTCCATCAGCCTCCCCTCTGCCTTTGTCTTCACTGCGTACCTACACTTCACCCACTCTTGTGTCTCACTCCTCTACCATCCCACCCTTTGTGTATAGTGCTCCCTCTCTGCAGAAGGCATTTCTCACCTTCTGCACCCTGTTAACTCGTGCTTATTCTTCAAAATTCAACTCAAGCAACTTCTTCAAACATTCTCTTTATGTTCCCAGGATTTCCTGCACATAGAACCTTTTATATCATGTTATATCAATGTGTCCATATTATGTATTTGTTTTTTGCACCAGAACCACGAGCAGAAATGGAGTCTTGTTCTTTCATTCATCTTTACATCTCCGACAATGAACAGAATGTTCTTCCATATGGGAGGCCATCAGTAATAATTCCACTTTGCTCAGTTACTCTCCAGAGCAAAATGATGCTTTAGTAATGGTAGAGGATTGGCAGAGGGGTCTCCCTTCTGTGCTGTGAGCAAGAGGCTTCTGGCAAGCCTGTGAATTGGGATAAGAGGCCCCTAGTGACCTCTTGACTTCATTGAACCCAGCAATAGGGAGTGGAAGGAAATGAAGAACTCAGCCATGCTCTCCCCTTGGCCCCTAGACCCCACGGGCATCCATTTAGAATGGCCCTCAGCCGTTGTGCTTAGCTTTGACCTAGCTCATTGGTGAAGTCAGACATGGTGCCTTATCTGTCCCCATAATGCCAGTAAAACTTGCATAGCCCCAGAGAATGGTTGCAATCAGTGTGTGCATTTTGAATGAAGTGATGCTTGGACAGACAACAGTCATGGCATCTACTATTCATTGAGTGGTCCCTGAGAGCTAGGCTCTACACAA